TAAAATGTTTTAATATTTAATAGTTGATAATGAAAGAGATAATTAGTTCATATTTACTGAATACTTATTGTGCTAGGAGCTACTGTAAAAGTTCATTAATCATCTTAACAACCCTATTAATGTAGGTTCTCTAGTATGAAGCTCCACTTTTCAGATGACAGAATGGAGAAACAGAGAAGTTAAGTAACTTGACTTCAGTCACAGAGCTACTAAACAGTGGAGCCAGAATTTAAATCACAGGCCAAGCCCATGAGCTCATAACCATGTTCTCATCTACCTCCCCACAGAAGGGGAATGATGCTATTTTGTGTTAAATTTCTTGGCCTGGTCAAACAAATTAATTAAAGTGTTCTTCTAAAAAGGAATCAAGACAACCATAGATAAACAAAAGCGTATACAATTTTCCTAGAATTCTGTTTTTTCTTTTTACAGTCAAGAAAGTTGAAGCTGCAGAATTTCCCCCCATTCTAAGGATGCTGTGGCAATGAGTAAAAGTGACATCCCCCAAGGTCAAAGGCAGAAGCTAGTTTGCAGTGGCATAATGAAGAACCAGTTGGTCCTTACTGCCCTCCCACCTCTTTTTGCAACCCATTCCTCAGAACTTTTTGTTCTACTCTCCAATTGTCCAAAGCTTCCCCCTACTCTGCTACTGGTGCTAATGTTTTAAAATAGATTAAATGACTCAAGTTCCCAAATTTTCTTGAAATCTGCTATTTCCTGAATCTGCTTTATCTCAGCTGGTATTAAGAAAATAATTGAATTATCTGTTAAAGTTAGTCCTACTAAGGAGTGATTTACTAGTAACAACCAGAATTTTTTGCATTATACATTACACTCTTTAAAAGGAGTATGGATTTCCCAGAATTTTAAATTGATGGAGTCTTTCAGAGGATATCTGTGAGTAGGTGGTTTCCAGGCTTGTTAGCCTGGAAATGATGTCCCTCTCACTATCCTCACCTGGAACCTAGGATTCCTTTTCTAAATGTTTGCTTGACTATTTATTTTTTGTTAATTTTTTTTTTCTTTAGACTGAGTCTCGCTGTCACCCAGGTTGGAGTGCAGTGGTGTGATCTCAGCTCACTGCAACCTCTGCCTCCCAGGTTCAAGCGATTCTCCTGCTTCAGCCTCCCAAGTAGCTGGGATTACAGGAACCTGCCACCGCATCTGGCTAATTTTTGTAGACGGGGTTTCACTATGTTGGCCAGCCTGGTCTCACACTCCTGACCTCAGGTGGTCCACCTGCCTCGGCCTCCCAAAGTGCTGGCATTACAGGCATAAGCCAGCCTTATGCCTACAGTGCTCAGCCTATTTTTTAAAATTTTAATTTAATTTCAAGTTTTTTTTTTTGTTTGTTTTTTTTTTTTTTTTTTTTTTTTTTTGTAGAGATGGTGTCTCTGTGTTGCCCAGGCTAGTCTCAAACTCCAGAGCTTAAGCAATCCTCCCACCTTGACCTCCCAAAGTACTAGGATTACATGCATGAGCTACTGTGCCCACCTAACTCTTTTAAAAAAAATTTTAAATACAAAGTGATCTAGGAAAGGGAAATGATCATTCTCCATCTTGGATAGAGTTTTTCCTCATGTGGTTTGTGGATTACCTGCTTCAGACTTAACTGGAGAGATTCCCAGCCCTGACTCTGACCTACTACACCAAAATCTTCCAGCAGGGCTCAGGAATCTGTGTTCTGTGTGTGTGTGTGTGTGTGTGTGTGTGTGTGTGTGTGTGTGTGTGT